TATTTGGAAGTTCTTGACTTGATACTTCAGTGCGTGAACACTGATTTGGAAAGAACTAGGACAGAGGATGATAAACTTTTGAATAAATGGGCAGGTTAAGTTATATAATTCTCTCTGCCTTGACTTGGCATTCAGCCTCTCATAGGCTGACTCAGGGTGTCCTTCCCAGCCCTGCCCTCTGCGGAAGCCACACCCGTCTGTCTTTCTTGTCAAGTCCATCACATGCTTAAACCACCGGAGCCTTTGCCTATGTTCCTCTTTCTGCTTGGGCTGTCTGATCTCTCTTCTCTACCTGGCAACTTTTACCTGTCCAGGCCCAGCTCCCCCTGTCCTCCCCTCCCCTCCCCCCCTTTTTTGTGTGTGAAGATACCACATAGCAAAGGCAAAAAAGAAGGATAATCTAGCAGCTGTGTGAAGAGTACATTAGAAGGAGGAGGGGTGTGGAGGCAGGAAGATCAGTTTTAGGAGACAAAGTCCCATAGACCTGAGCTGTACAGTATGGTAGCCTCCAGCCACAAATGGCAATTTCAATTAAAATTAATTGAAAGAAGCCAATCTGAAAAGGCTACATACTGTATGATCAATTGTATGACATTCTGGAAAAGGCAAAACGATGGAGACAGTAAAAATATCATTGGTTGCCAGGGGCTTGGGGGCAGGGAGGGGTGAATAGGCAGAGCACAGGATTCTTAGGGCAATTCTCCGTATGAGACCATAACGATGGATACATGTCATATATTTGTCAAACACTAGAATATACAATACCAACCATGAACCGTAATGTTAACTATGAACTTTGCTGATTATGTTGTGTCGATGATCGGTTCACCAATTGTAACAAATACCACTCTGGTGGGGGATGTTAATGTGGGAGGCTTTTGATGTCTGGGGGCAGAAAGTATAAGGAAATCTCTGTATCTTCCCTTCAATTTTGCTGTGAACTTAAAACTGCATAAAAGAATGAAGTTTAATTTAAAAAAATTAAAATTAATTAAAATTAAATCAGTCCCACTGGCCACATTTCAAGTGTTCAATAGCTACGTGCGGCTAATGGCTACTGTATTGGGTAGCACAGTTTAAGTAGAACAATTCCATCACAACAGAAAGTTCTGTTGGATAGCATTGCCAAAAATTAACTCCCCAAGTGAAATTGGCAGTCATTCTATATAGTCATGTTTTATGTGTTGTGCCTTGAAACCTGGACCAGTCATTGTACCTGACCTATTCTAGACTGAGTATATTGAAGATGAGAGTGTTTGTGGATACTCTCACTGTAAGTATGAATGCAACTTAGAATAGTAAATCAGATTTAGTGCCCATCACTTGAGTATCTATTATCTATTTCTCTTTCCCACTTACTGTCACTCTTATAAGAGAGACATAAAGTAATTAAATAAAACCAAAGAACTTATATGCATAACCCATGGACACAGACAATAGTGTGGTGAAGACCTGGGGAGTGGGGTGCAGGATGGAGGGGGTCAACGGGGGAGAAAAGGGGACATCTGTAATACTTTCAACAATAAAGATAATTTTTAAAAAATTAAATAAAATTCATTCCTTAGTAATTCCCTCAACTGGGGTCAGAATATTTGTTTTCACAGTTCTGCCTGGTATATGATTGTTTTATCGAGAGCTTTTTATTTCTTTCCCTCCGTCTGCTCCCCAACCCTTACCTCAGTCTGTCCAAGAACAAGTCCTATTAATTCTGTCTGCTTCCCAAAGAAGTAATTCTCCATTTTCACTTTCAAGTCTTGTTTTAAGTCACTATCGTCTCTCTGCTGGGTGATGGCAGTAGCCTCCTAACTGGTCACCCTGCTTCCCTGTGCCTGCTAAGATCACTTGTCCATACAACAAGGAAAATGACCGTTTGAAAAGAAAAATCAGATCATGCCAACCTGTCCTTTAGCACCCCTGCTTCCTATTGTGCTTAGAAAAGATTCCCAACACCTGAACCTGGCCTAAAAGTCTCTTTGTGCTTTGTGATCTAGCCTTGCCTTCTTACCCAGCCTCGTCACCACACCTTCCTCCTCACTGGCCTCCTGTGGTTCCTGAATACACCCAAACTTTCCTTCCATAGGGCTTTTTTGTTTTTTTGTTTTGCCTCTGGATTGTTCTTTTCAAGCTCTACATGTGTGGTTCCTTCCCAGCTTCAAAGTCTCAACTCCAATGTTACTTCCTCAGAGAAGCCTGCTTTGTCTATTCTTTCTAAGGTAGGCTCCCTCTACTCCATTCTATCGCATCATCCTTATCATTATCTGGAATGATTTTTTTGTTTATTTATTTATTTACTTTTGTACTTGCTGTCTAATCCTACTAGAATATCGCTTTTATGAAGGCAGGAAACTTATTTTTATTTCCTATTTATCCCAGTACCCAGTGTATATTTAATAAAACTGAATAACTGAATACTTTCTAAAGAAGACATAAGAAGGCCCCTATCTGGTTTGGCTCAGTGGATAGAGCATCAGCCTGCAGACTGAAGGGTCTCAGGTTCGATTCCGGTCAAGAGCACATGCCCGGATCTCGGGCTCTATTCCCAGTAGGAGCATTCAGGAGGCAGCCGATCAATGATTCTCTGTCATCATTGATGTTTCTATCTCTCCCTCTCTGAAATCAATAAAAATATATTAATAAAAAAAGAAGACATTAGAAAAATTCATTCTCTCTCTCTTTCTCCCTCCCCCCTCTCCCTCCCCATTCCTCCTTCTCTTCCTCTCTCAGTATATGTGTGTGTCTAAAATAAAAGGGCTTTCCATGTATCTAAATGTGAATCTCCTAGGCCCTTTATACCTCCTGGTGATTATTTCTGAACATCATCTTTTACTTCATGAAATCATGGCCCACAGCTTTTTACTATACTTGATCTTAGCCAAAAGGCAGAGAAGCGATGGTTCACAGCTTTTTGAATGGTTGATTTTAGTTGAGGAATCTAGTGAACAATACATCTGGAAATATTCTGTCATGTTTTGATCTGAAAAACTCTGCCGAACCAGCTGCTGATTTAAAAGGCTTTTATTTGTATACAGATAGTCTATTGTCTACAAAGCATTGGCTCTTACACAGTGTAATGTGTGTTGCTCTTTCTGAGCTATTAACTTGAGAGGAAAAACTTGTATTTATTAACTTATGCATGACTTGTACTCTCTGAGAATAGTTTATTGTGTTATTGCCTTTAGCTGCTTTACTGTGCATTTAGGGATTTTTCTTTTCATTTTCATCTTTAAACTCAATCAAAAGTTAAATGGTTAGATAGTAGTATTGAGATACTTTCCATTCTGAGCTTAGAAAATTTTACAGATTTCTGCATTAAAGTGGGGTTTATATTTATGATTTAACACTCTTAGATAGCTTTATATTGATACGATTGGTGAATTTCACCATTCACTATATTGAACTTTACTTCTATAATACTTAACAGTATATGTGATACAGTAAAAGGAAAATTGACATTTAAGCCTTACATAGGGATAATTTTGAAGAAGGTAAGTATGTGTATCATTTGTGGTATAATAAATACATGTGCACAGACACACAATCTGGTTAGTGTGACTTTTAATATTTCAATATTTTAAAATTTTTTGGCCATTATCACTTAGAAGATTTAAATAAAATGACAGATAAATTCTAAAATCATTAGGTAGAAAATATTTGTATCTAAGAAACCAAGAATAACATTTTAATATTAGCTTACATTTTTATATGTTTTTTAAAAAAATGATTTGAAAGAGAGAGGGAGAGGGAGAGAAACATTGATGAGAAAGAAACATTGATCAGCTGCCTTCTACACTCTCCCCACTGGGGATTGAGCCCAACCCCAGGCTTGTGCCCTGGGAATCGAACTGTCAGCATCGTGCATGGAATGATACTCAAGCAACTAAGCCACACCAGTCAGTGCTTGGTATTAGTTTTTAAACTAAAAAAAGTCTATATTCACATTCCAGAAAATTAGAAAACAGGAAATATAGATAATTAATAAAACCACTGGTAACATATTATTTTATACTCTTTCACTGTTTTGCCTTATACATATGGATTTTTTGTTTTGTTTTGTTCATAGTGTATTATTTTTTATTCTTCTTTATAAATGAAATATAATGTCAAATTTTCCCATAGTGCTTAGTCTTTATAACCATTGTTTTAATAACCCTACAGTACTCAATCTAAAGATATATCTTAATTTACTTAAGTATTCCTTGTTGTTGGATACGTTATTTTAAAAACATTTTGGCTTTCATAACTAACATGATAATGAATACTTTGTGAATATTGTTATTACCATATTTGATATTATTGCTAATAGGGTATATTCTCATAAGTGGAACTCCCAGATATGACATTTTTTATGTTCCTTAACACACACTAACAAATGATTGTCTAAAGAGAATATACCAATTTATATTTCCACCAGTAGGGTGTAAAACTATCCCATTGCAGCATTTAGCATTATATATTTTTCCTTTTTAAGTTGATCTTTAAAAAGAATTAGGGGAAAAATATGCTGATTACTAGTGAAGTTGTGTACTAGTATTTTCATATGTTTGATTTCTAATTTCAGAGTCATAATTCCATCACATATTTTTCCCAATCCAATAACATTTTTCCCCTCTATAAACACGTTAGCCTACCCACCTTGATTCAGGTACTTCGTGTGCTTTTTTAGAGACAAAGCAGTTTGTCAGTTAAACATGCACACATCACCCATATATATTTCAATGAATTTTTTTTCTCTGTGCTCAATGATGCCTTCCAAGTAATTACTCTAGAGAAGGGTTAATACATTATGTTTGTACTTCAGATTGTTATCCAAGTGTGTTGTGGAAGCATATATGGGAGAAATCTTGATAATTGTACAATATTCCAAAATTTTCTTTGAATTTAATTACTATAAAGTATATAAATATAGTATAAAGTATACTATAAAGTTTTAAATATGGTTTACCAAAAGCTTTTAAAGTCTGAGAATTCATTTTTAAATTGTGACTCTCTTTCCTCTCTAGGTTGGGAAAGAGACTGTTCAAACCACTGAGGATCAGATTTTGAAGAGAGATATGCCACCAGCATTTATTAAGTGAGTAATTAAAATAGTCTTTTGTTGCTAAGACGAATAATCCTCTTCTTAAGAAAGAAAAGTAACTATTCCAGTTATATTTTAAAATATAATACTGTGTTTAAAATTGAAATTTCAATTTTTCATCTTTTAACACTTAGGTTTCCTACTGCTGATTTTATTCATTTGTGTTAGGCATTTTAAACATTATTATTATTTTTCAAGACCACTGTATTTGATGTTTATTTTTAATTATTTTTATTTGAGAGATAGATATTTATTGTTCCACTCATTTATGCTCATTTATGTATTCATTGGTTGATTGTTGTATGTGCCCTGATTGGAGATTGAACCACAACCTTGGCATATCAGGATGATGCTCTAATCAACTGAGCTACCTGGCCAGGGCAACATAATTATTTAATAAAATCATGGCTTCTGAGTGTTGTTTTCCAGAATGAAAAGGATTCAGAAACTTTCTGATCTTAGCATGCAAATAAGCCTGAATTATATACTGAACACCTTTGCTTGGAGATAAGGGAATAAACTTAAAAACCATTATTATATTTCAATAGCATTTTAAATTTGTTATATTTACATATCACCTAATTCTCCTACAAATAATTTTCAGATATTTTGGCCTATCCTGCATAAAAGCAGAGATACTAACTTTTGATTAGTTAAAACTTCCTAGGTTCTTGCTTATATTGGCTTTGATTAATGGCTTTGTTCTAAATGGCAGTCAAGTCCTAAGTAAAAGTAAAGGTTGATGCATAACAGTTTTTATTATTTTATTTCTTTTAAAAAAGACTTAAAATTGATTTTTAGAGAAAGAGGAAGGGTGAGGGAGAGAGAGAGAAACATTGATGTGAGAGATTGATTGGGTGCCTCCTGCATGCCCCCTACCAGGGATCGAGCCCCACAACCTAGGCATGTACCCTGACTGGGAACTGAACCGGCAACCTTTTGATGTACAGGACAATGCCCAACTAACTGAGCTACACTGGCCAGGGCCCATAACAATTTTTTAAAAAAGTAGAGCCTCTGCAAGTCAATAAGAATGAGATAAGTATTCAGTTCCATAAAAGGAAGTCAGATAATATCAGTTGTTGATGAGGATGTGGAGCAATTGGAACTCCTATATACTGCTCTTGGGAATGTAAATTGGTACAGACACTTTGAGAAAGAAGTTTGGTATTAACAAAGGAGAAGATAGGAAATTCCACTCTCAGGTATGTTCCCTAGAGAAACCCATGCACACTAGGATCCATATACAAAAATATTGATATTGACAGTGTTCATGATGACCCTTTTGGTCTATCTACAGTTGAATGGATAAAAACAATCATGGTGTAGTCACAAATTGAAATATTAATCAGTAATAAAGGAATGGGAATTTTTCCCTTTAAAGTGATTGATTTTATGTTAAATTAATTTCACCTCAATTAGAATAAAAGAGTAAATGAATCTCAAAAACAATTGAGAGATATGAATGAATTATTGATAGCTATATAGATAGGTTTCATTTATTTAAAGTTCAGAAACATTGTAGAAATAAACTGGCATGTTTATTTGTTAACAGTGTCTGTTTATTTGGTAAAATGATAAAGATGAGTAAGGAAAAATGATCATAAAAGTCAGAGTAGTGGTACCTCTGGGAAGAAGAAAGAGGGATATACACAGGGAGAAGCACATAGGGGCTTCTAAAATGGTAATAATGTTCTATTTCTTGACTTATAGTGTTGAGTTGTTTTGACTTATAGTGTTGAGTTGTTTTGACTTATGGTGTTGAGTTGTTTTGATTTGTAGTGTTGACTTACAGTGTTGGTGGTTGTTGTTTTTTAATAATTATTATATTATACATATGTTTTGGGCATTTTTTTCTGTATGTGTGTTATACATCACAGTTTTAAAGTGAGATGTGTTTATTTTTATCCTCCTTATGTTCTATTATTTTAATTGAAGAGATGCAAATTTTCACCCTTATGGATGTCTTCATATTTCTAACTTACTTAAGTGGGTGTTTCTACAGAACTATGTTTCTGTTAATTCTGCAAAATGTTCAGGTGTCAAAGGTACCGGAAGCATCTGTGTTTTGTAGAACCTGTTTTGTGGGAGTATCTTTTTTGGGGGGGAGGGGGGTATCTTTTTTTACTTGCTTGTATTGACCTTGGTGACCTCCAAAGTTTCTTCTAGCTCTAACCAATGTGAGCGTACGTTGGTTATGTGCCATTGCATCAGCATAGTAATAATAAGAGGAATCCTATGCTGTCAGTAAACATATTATAATTAAACTTGCATTTACCTTACCTTAAAAACACAGCCCCAGCTTGTACCCATTTGCCTATCACTCTCTGAAAGGTATAGAGCATGGTGAGAGTGTACAGGGGATTTTAATGTCAGATGGATGGTTGGACTAGATGATCCCACAGGAAGTTCTTTCAACCTTGATATTCAAGTCTGAATATCATTTGATTAGTAAATGAATTTCTTTAGTAAACTCATTACTGCTTACTCCCAGAAATATACCTGTCAATTATGTAATTTGCTCTCATAGGCTTCTTTGGGAACTTAGAAAAATTAAGGAGTGTGCCCTAATTGTGATAACATCTTTTAAAAACTAGGTAATTTTAAAACAAAACAAATTGATCACCCTTGATGGTAACTAGGACACCAACCCCTTACGCTGGTAATTTATTTTTTTATTTTCTTCTTTCTTTATTTAAAAAAAATCTTTATTATTGAGGGTATTATAGATATCCCACTTTTTCCCCTCATTGCCCCTCTCCACCCAGTTCCCACCCAGACCCAGGGAGTATCTTTTTTTGGGGGGAGGGGGGTATTTTTTTTACTTGCTTGTATTGACCTTGGTGACCTCCAAAGTTTCTTCTAGTTCTAACCAATGTGAGCGTACTTTGGTTATGTGCCATTGCATCAGCATAGTAATATTAAGAGGAATCCTATGCTGTCAGTAAACATATTATAATTAAACTTGCATTTACCTTACCTGTGTCCATAGATAATGCATATATGCACGTAAGATCTTTGGCTAATCTTTTCCTGTCCCACTCCTCCCTTCCTTCTGAGATTTGCCAGTCTGTTCCATATTTCCATGCCTCTGATTCTATTCTATTCACAAGTTTATTTTGGTCGTTAGATTTCTTATTCATTTATTTTATTTTTTGTTTATTTTGATTTATAGATTCAATTGTTGATAGATATGTATTTATTGCTTTTTTAATGTTCATATTTTTTATCTTTTTTTTTTCTTCTTCTTCCTCTTCTTAAAGAATACCCTTCAACATTTCATGTAATACTTGGTTTGGTGGTGATGAATTCCTTTAGCTTTTTATTGTCTGTGAAGCTCTTTATCTGACCTTCAATTCTAAATGATAGCTTTGCTGGGTAGAGTAATTTTGGTTGTAATAGGTCCTTGCTATTCATGACTTTGAGTATTTCTTTTTTTTTTTTACTTTGAGTATTTCTTGCCACTCCCTGCTGGCCTGCAACGTTTCTGTTGAGAAATCAGCTGACAGTTGTATAGGTTCTCCCTTGTAGGTAACTAACTGCTTTTCTCTTGCTGCTTTTAAGAGTCTCTCTTTGTCTTTAACCCTTGGCATTTTAATTATGATGTGTCTTGGTGTGGCCCTCTTTGGGTTCCTCTTGTTTGGGACTCCCTGTGCTTCATGGATTTGTAAGTATATTTCTTTCAGCAGGTAGGGGAAGTTTTCTGTCATTATTTCTTCAAATAGTTCTTTGATATCTTGCTCTCTCTCTTCTCCTTCTGGTACCCCCATAATGTGAATGTTGGTACGCTTAAAGTTGTCCCAGAGGTTCCTTATACTATCTTCATATTTTTGGATTCTTTTTTCTTTTTGCTCTTCTAATTGGGTGTTTTTTGCTTCTTCATATTCCAAATTGTTTATTTGATTTTCGGAATCCTCTACTCTACTATTGAATCCTTGTAAATTATTTTTAATTTTAGTTAGTGTATACTTAATTTCTGACTGATCCTTTTTCATGTCTGACATTGTCCTCAAACTTTTTAAACAGGGGGCCAGTTCACTGTCCCTCAGACATTCCACACATGCGCACTGCGGGCCCGGAATTTTGTATCCAGTAGTTTGTTTGCTTCCATTTCTTTCATTTCTGACATGTTTCTTTGTCTCTGCAGGCCGCATGTGGCCCGCGGGCCATAGTTTGAGGACCCCTGTCTTTGACATTCTCAGTAACATCCTTAAAAGTCTCATTAAGTCCCTTGAAGCTCTCTTTGAATCCCTTAAAGCTCTCATTGAGATTCTTGAGTAATCTTACAATTATTGTTTTGAATTTTGTATCCAGTAGTTTGTTTGCTTCCATTTTTTTCATTTCTGACATGTTTCTTTGTCTCTGCATTTTGGTTGCTTCCCTGTTTGTTTCTATATTAGGTGGAGCTGCTATGGCTCCTGGAATTGGTAGAGTGGCCCTGTGTAGTAGGTGTCCTGCAAGGCCCAATGGCTCAGCCTCCCTAGTCACCTGAGCTGGGCACTCTAGGTGCGCTCTTGTGTGGGCTGTGTGCACAGTCTTGAAGTTGAACCTTGATTGCTGTTGGTGTCACTGGAAGGAATTGATCTCCTGGCCAATTGGCTGTGAGGAGCAGCTGTGACTATAGTGGAAGAGCAGCTATGCAGGAGTCACCCCTATGGAGCAGGACTTGCTTCAGTGGGGTTTTGGTGCTCACTGAGTCTGCCCCTTGAGTATGTCGCTTGTGGATGTATAGAGTTGTAATCTGGTATGGTCTGAAGCTGTCCACTGGCTCTGGGGCCTCCTAGGAGGTGCAAAGTCAGCCACTGCCTGGGGCCACCTGGCAGGAGCTACAGAGAGGTTTGCAGATAGCTGCTACTTGTATTGGGCTTGTGAAGTGCCCAGATGAGGCCCAGTTGAGAAGCAAGGCAGGCTGGTGTTAGTGCCGGGTCTTGGGCCTTTTATTAATAATTTGGGCACCCTGATGCCAGTTGCTGCTTGCTTGAGAGATTTTAGCA